TTGAAGGATCCGCGTAACGAGTTCCCTCGTACCTTGGCATATTGGATCTACATGCTGATGGCATGCCTTGCAAAATATGGGCCCAATTCCTTGGCTGGGACTCCATCTGCGATCGTGACAGACAGCAAACATTTAGTGACATATCTTCAAGACCTACTTAACCGAAAACAAGATCTATGTGTTCGGTGTACGTATGCAATAATCCCTGTAATCAGTGCGCATCGAAAACCTGCCAATCACCCCCAAGTTGGTTTCCAAAACACATTAGCATCAAAACCCATTCTTACACCTTTATCCGCCCATATGTTCTCCTGACCTGGTATCCTTCCCTTGTAAGGGGCATGAGTTGAGTTTTCGCTTATGTGCCTGCAATGTGCACCGAAATATTACATACGATTGGCCCGAAAAACGAATTTCTGCGTTTCCACAATTTTTGTGCTGAGTTTTTTTTTCATGAGTTTGCGACAGTTTGTCGTCAGTTTCCTCATGGGATGGTTTGCTTTCCAATAAAATGTCTCAGTGTTTGAAACCCTTCTGCATTGCAAGACTTATTATTATAGAATAAACTTTACATTTTTATATGAGGGGAAAATTGGCCTTTATTTTTCCCAGTTTTCAAAAATAATGTAAATTCTTTTGTAAGAGAGCAAAAGAAACAGCTATACTGGTGCCGCTTTCAGACAATCGTAAATTCCATGTAGATGGTCCGAGTATTCATGAAATTTCAACTACATTCTACATACACTTTCGCTTTTCAACGTTACAAATTCCTGATAAGAATCGAATGAATGAATTCATATTTGATTATAGATAGCAGTTCAATCCCTTATAGTCAAGCTCTATAAACAGATCAACTGCTAAGAGTAGATCCTTTAACATGCACTTTATTATTTAAAGATCTAAAAAGTAGCACAGATGGTGGATTATGATTGCACATATGAGCATGCTTTACAGTAGGCTGAAAAGCTGGAACACAGCTAATGCAGGTTTCGATTGCTAAATATTGTGTTTAACATGTGAATTTGACATTAGCTAGCTGATCAGTATTCATAAGCTTTCAACTAGGACGTTCTATACCGCTCACATTTTTTGAAAAAATAGACGCGAATGTATGGACATGTATGGACATGTACGGACATGTCCATACATGTATGGACATGTCCGTACATGTCCGTACATGTCCATACGTATATGGACATGTCTACATCAGCGTCGCGTGGCCATATCTCGCTTCAGAGTGGACGAATTCTAAATCCAAAGCCACATTCGATTCAGCTCGGCGCGGAATCTTCTGATATATTGAAAGTGGGGGTACGATGTCTTCGATATTCCGTTTTCACTTTTTCATTTTGTTTTGCGGAGGTCCTTTCGCGAACATGTGAAGCAACGCCTACTCAACATAGAAGACTTTACTGGTACTATTCGATAATACTGTTCTTGTGGATTATTGTGTGCTAAAAAATAGGTTCAGACTTCTTTCCAAAAGAGATAGAAGCGTTGGTGAATTTTGGAAAAATCACGCGTTTCTAAATTCCACTTGCCTAACTTCCTTCGGAATAAGTATATTTTGAATCCGAAAGCCGCCTTGCTCAGCTCATCAAGGCGAATCTTCCTACATACAGTTCTTAATATTTCGATTTCAGTATTCTTAAATCTCTCTGAGGACGTCTTTTCGCGAAGGTGTAAAGCAGCGAGCATTGTCTCGAGTACATTCCAGCAAGGATCTTTCGATAGCACTTTTTCTGTAGATTATGATGTGCTAAATAGTAGCCGCAGGTTTCTTTTCAAAGGAAATAGAACGGTGAATTGTGGAAAAATCTTGTCGTCCCAAATTCTAGTCGCCATAGCCGCAGGATACGAAGCTATCTTGCTAAGCAGATGTGAGTTTCGAAATCAGCAGGTCAGATAACCTCTGTGAGCAAGTTTTCCGATATGTTCGGGTTATTCCTTTCTCGTTTTACGCTCCAGAAGCTCGCCGATGGATTTTGGTCAAAATGCTGATGCTCCTGAATTGTAAGGAAACTTCGCTTATAGAGGTTTTCGAATACACTCTTTACGAAAATCGTGGTCTTTGAGGATTACAGGGTCTTTTTGGAGAGATACGGTGAGGTGACTGTAACTGCATCACGAAAGTGCGTAACTTTCCTCGCACTTCTCGCGTATCTGTCAGAAACCTTGTCTACTTGCTTTCTCAGTTAAAGTTACTAGGAACCGTGCTATCGAGAGGTGCATTACTCAGGCTCCAGTCTGTGAGATTCGCCGAGTTACGAGCCTACGAAAACACGTCCTCATGAATTTTGCCCAAAATGTAAAGACCGCATATCTCGTCGAAATTCCTCCGTGAGCGCTTGTATGACGCTCTTTGCAGATATCATGTTCGCTTCGTCGAACGACTCCTGCCGTACTGAATATGGTACTTGCGTCTGCTTCAGCTGCTCAATTGAATATCAAAGCTATTTCGTGGCTAGGGCTCAAAGCACCAAATCTAACACAATAAGATCCATCAAAAATGTGGAAGGATTTGATCAGCGCATTGTACAAACGCTCACGGAGGAATTTCGACGAAATAAGCGGTCTTTACATTTTGGGCAAAATTCATGAGGACGTGTTTTCGTAGGCTCGTAACTCGGCGAATCTCACAGACTGGAGCCTGAGTAATGCACCTTTCGATAGCACGGTTCCTAGTAACTTTAACTGAGAAAGCAAGTAGACAAGGTTTCTGACAGATACGCGAGAAGTGCGAGGAAAGTTACGCACTTTCGTGATGCAGTTACAGTCACCTCACCGTATCTCTCCAAAAAGACCCTGTAATCCTCAAAGACCACGATTTTCGTAAAGAGTGTATTCGAAAACCTCTATAAGCGAAGTTTCCTTACAATTCAGGAGCATCAGCATTTTGACCAAAATCCATCGGCGAGCTTCTGGAGCGTAAAACGAGAAAGGAATAACCCGAACATATCGGAAAATTTGCTCACAGAGGTTATCCGACCTGCTGATTTCGAAACTCACATCTGCTTAGCAAGATAGCTTCGTATCCTGCGGCTATGAGTGGAATTTGGGACGACAAGATTTTTCCACAATTCACCGTTCTATTTCCTTTGAAAAGAAACCTGCGGCTACTATTTATGATTTATGATTTATGATTTACTTGCCTCTCATATTATTACAATATGTGGCACCCAGACAAATTAATCCATTCCTTCGACGTGAGTGATCGTGCTATTCTTTGCCAGTTGCAAGTTCCAAGCACAGGTGCGATAGTGTGAGACCTTTTCTCACCCCCTCTTCACCCCTCAGCGGAAACCAAGGTGACCCCCTTCACCGAAAGCCGAGAAAAAAATCAACAGTGAGGTAAGGTTAAGCAAAGGAGGTATTTGTACGTGAATTGTCAGTGTATAGGAAAGGAGGAGTCGGTTGAAAAGTGCTTGGTGACGGGTGTGAGTAGTGATTTCTGGAGATTTTCGGATTTTTGACATAAAAAAATTCATAACTTTTGTAGATGAACATCTTTTACGGCGAGATGGTCACCATTAGAACCGCCTCGTTCTCCGCTCTTAGAAAATATACAGCATGTTTGAGATCCGTTTAAAAAAGTGTGTGGTGAAAGATGTGACTAGTGATTTCTGGGAATTTTCGAGTTTTCAGGATAAAAATCCGTGACTACTGCAGATGAACAGCTGATGCAAGAAAATAGTAACCATCGGAACCGCCTCGTCCTCCGCTTTCAAGAAATATGCGGCATGTCTGAGATCCATTCAAAAAAGGGCCTGGGTGAAGGGTGTGCTTTGTGATTTTTAGAGATACTCGATTTTTTATCATAAAAAAATTCATAACTTTTTTAGATGAACATCTTGTACGCCTGGATGGTCACCGCTGGAACCGTCTTGTCCTCCGCTTTCAGAAAATATATACTTTGCCCGGGGTCCATTAGAAAAAGTGCCGAGTGAAGGGTGGGTGAGACTTTTATAATGGGAGTGCTCAAGTAGACGCCTTTTTACAATGGTAAAAAAGCCTGTATTTGAGCACTCCCATTATAAAAGTCTCACCCACCCTTCACCCGGCACCTTTTCTAATGGACCCCGGGCAAAGTATATATTTTCTGGAAGCAGAGAACGAGACGGTTCCAGCGGTGACCATCCAGGCGTACAAGATGTTCATCTAAAAAAGTTATGAATTTTTTATGATAAAAAATCGAGTATCTTCAAAAATCACCAAGACACCCTTCACCCAGGCACTTTTTTGAAAGGATCTCGACATGCTATAGATTTTTCGAAAGCGGAGGACGAGGTGGTTTCGATGGTTACTGCTTCCTTGCACCAGCTGTTCATCTGCAGTAGTCACGTATTTTTTTATCCTGAAAACTCGAAAATTCCCAGAAATCACTAGGCACATCCTGCACCAGGCACTTTTTTTAATGGATCTTAAAAGGCAGTTCTAATAATGACCATCTCGCCATGAAAGATGTTCATCTAAAAAAGTTATGAATTCTTTTATGTTAAAAACTCGAAAATCTTCAGAAATTACTAGGACACCTTTCACCCAGGCACTCTTTTTGACGGACACCAGGCAATGTATATATTTTCTAGAAGCAGAAAACGAGGCGGTTTCAATGGTGACCATATCGGCGTAAATTATACTCATCTTCAAAAGTTACGATTTTTCTATCCTAAAAACTCGAAAATATCCAGAAATCACTACTCACACTCTTCACCAGGCCTTTTTCAACAGACTCCAGGCAAACTATATCTAAAAGCGGAAGACAAGATGGTTTTAAAAATATTCACTTTGCTGACGTTGCTATTCATCTACAAAAATTACGAATTTCTTCTTGAAAAAAATTGCGATGTAAAAAAGGGAAAAGGAAATGTATAAAAAATACAAGGTGCTGGTCAGAAATATAATTGTATGCTACATTTTACGATTTCTTTACCAAGTAAAACACCCTTCACTCTAGAGGGGTTGCGACCACTGTGACCCCCTTCACTCTGGGGGAGTCATTCTCACCTTATCGCACCTGTGGTGCCAAGTTTCTTCTGAAATTCATGCTCCATCTCATCCGCGGTCGTGGACGCTTTTGGTGGTCGCCATTCCATTAGTTCTCTTGACCATTTAATCTCATTTCTGTTGGCGAGTTTCCAAGCATAATTCCATTTCCTTTTCTTCGCGCAAGTCACTAAGTCTTTCACTTTAGTGACGCCACGTAACCATGAATTCGTCTTCTTGTCCAATAAGCGGCTGCCAACCATTCTCCGTTCTATACGTCTTCCAGCAGCGCTAAGCTGTTTCTCCATCTTCTTCGTCACTGTCCATGTTTCTGAACCGTAAAGAATCGCAGGAAGGGTACAGGAATCAAACAATTTCCGCTTCCACTTCAGTAGCACCGTCTTCGATGTCAAAAAATCCTTATAATGGTGGAAGATTTGCACCCAGCATGTATACGCCGTGACATTTCTCTGCTATAATCACTGGAGAGTGATATAGTTTGTCCAAGATAAATATAAGATTCTACTTGTTCGATTGTTGTGCCTTTCAGAGTGATTGTTACTGGCGTACATGCAAGTACTTTGGTTTTCAAAGGATTGATCTTGAGACCGTTCTTGCGTGAATAATTATCCAAATTATCTATCATCTCTTGTAACTCACCTTCACATTTTGCAAACAGGACGACATCATCAGCAAAACGAAGATTCGTGAGCTAATAACCATTTATGTAATAACCATAGTTGTTCCAGCTAATTTTTCGAAAAACGTGTTCAAGTGTAGCTGTGAACAACTTAGGTGAAAGTGGACCTCCTTGTCTCACTCCTCTCTCAACGTTTATAGGAACTGATGCTTCACCGACTTTTACAATAGAATTTGAGCTTGTATAGACTTGTCGAAGAAGAGTGACAAGCTGCCAGTGAACTCCTTGTTCTTCAAGAGCAGTCCAAAGTCCATTCACTTCAACGGTGTCGAAAGCTTTTCCATAATCTACAAACATCATGAAAAGTGGCAAATTGTACTCACTCGTGCGTTCAATCAGTTCATTGATGGCATGGATATGATCAACCGTTGAATAATTTCTCCGGAAACCTGCTTGTTCTCGTGGTTGCTCTTGGTCAAGAATTATTTCTAGTCTCTGATTGATGACTTTGGCAAGCAACTTCTAGAGAACCGGTAGCAGAGAGATTGGGCGGTAGTTGCGTAATTCATCCGGCTTTCCAAAATGGTTATTGAATCTGCCATCTTCGCTGGCACCATGCAGGAGTAGAGGCACTGATTGAATAGCTGTGTTATCAAAGGAATAAGATGTTCTTTTCCTTGCTTGATCATCTCTACGGTGATGTAGTCGTGCCCGGGTAATTTTCCTGCTTTCATCGAATTCAGTGCCATGATTACTTCATCTTGCAAAAATGGATGGCAGGATGATATATCGACAGCTCCTGTGAGTTGTGTGGTGTGTATGATATATCGACAGCTCGAGCATACATACTTTCAAAATAAGAACCAACTATCCTGCAGATTTCTGACTTCGTGCTACATATCTTCCCTTTCTCATCCTTTATTCTAAAGAGGCGGTGATGTCTATATGATAATTCTCCCTTCACTTTCTTCAGGTTACGTGATGACCGTATAGCTTCCTCCAATCGTTTGCAATTGAGAGCGTATGTCTGCTTTCATCATTCTTCTTAACAATTTGCAACATTCGACATAGGCAATGCGGTCGACTGATGTAGAGACATCGTTTTCTTCATTTCTTGAGTTTCTTCATCATAATGGTGCTTTCTTCTGAAAGATAGTTGCAGGTAGTGGTCTTTTCGTATACGGCCGACTGTGTTGCGCTGGTGATATATCCGCATAGTTCTTCATAGCCATTTGCCGGGGATCGTAGCAACGATGGGCATTTGGTAGAGATCTCTTGCTTGTAAAGCTCCCAGTTTACGTGTTTTTGAGTTATTCGCTCTTACTTCTTTAGCTTATCCGAGCTTGGCCAATAAATCTTTCCTCGTAAAAGTCGGTGATCGGTTTCATAATTTAGAAATCCAGTTCTCACGCTCGTGAATCGGATATGCTTGCAAGAAATGATGTGATCGATACAGTTCATAGTTTTACCATCAGGTGACTTCCAAGTCCATTTGCGTCCTTTAGTTTTGAAGAAGGTGGACATTGCGCGAAGAGTGTTCTCCTCACAGAACTCAATGATCGATTGTCCTCGAGCATTCTCATCTGTATTATAACCGCAGCTGAAGTACCGCTCCTACTGAAGTCTCGATATCGTCTAGTCGTGTACCAAGTTTTGCGTTGAGGTCTCCTAGTACAACTGTATGTATTTCTGACTCACAATTCATGGATTTCATGCAGCAGACTCTCTTGCTGTGGGCCATGCTTTTCTGAAGAATTGCTTCTGCTTGGTTCCATTGTTCGTCTTCGTAGTCATCATCTGCTTTGGGAGGTACATACGTGGAGAAAAATCTGATAGTGATTTTACCCATCTTCACATCCAAACTTGAGATTCTTTCACTTTCTCGCATGAATGCTGTTATGTAAGGTAGAATTCGTTCACTCACGAGAAAGCCTGTGCCGGAGGGTCCCTGCGCATGCTCGGGACCAGCATAATAATATCGATAGTTCGAATGCGGTAGATCCGTACATTCAGTTCCTCTCCAACGTAGTTCGGTCAGGGCCAGTATATCCAGTCGTGTGGTCTTCAGGGCTTCTTGCAGTTCTAGAAGTCGGGCTCCGTTTGACAGGCGTCTCACGTTGATAGTTCCGACGTGTATATAGTCATTGCTGGGGTGGAACATTCTTGATCCTGCTGTTCCGGGGCTTCCTGGATCAAGGGGTTCGACGTCCAGAGGGTTGAGGAAGAGCGGTCAAAATGACCGATCAGTCGAGGGACCTGTAGAGGATGAACTCTCGGCTACTATTTAGCACATCATAATCTACAGAAAAAGTGCTATCGAAAGATCCTTGCTGGAATGTTTTTGGGACAATGCTCGCTGCTTTACACCTTCGCGAAAAGACGTCCTCAGAAAGATTCAAGAACACTGAAATCGAAATATCAAGGACATGCTGTATGTAGGAAGATTCGCCTTGATGAGCTGAGCAAGGCGGCTTTCGGATTCAAAATATACTTATTCCGAAGGAAGTTATGGCAAGTGGAATTTAGAAACGCGTGATTTTTCCAAAATTCACCAACGCTTCTATCTCTTATGGAAAGAAGTCTGAGCCTATTTTTAGCGCACAATAATCTACAAGAACAGTATTATCGGATAGTACTAGTAAAGTCTTCTATGTTGAGTAGGCGTTGCTTCACATATTCGCGAAAGAACCTCCGCAAAACAAGTTGCAAAAACTGAAAACGGAATATCGGAGACATCGTACCCCCACTTCCAATATATCAGAAGATTCTCCTCGCCGAGCTGAATCGAATGGTGGCTTTGGATTCAGAATTCGTCCGCTCTGAAGCGAGATATGGCCACGCGACGCTGATGCATGGACATGTCCATACATGTATGGACATGTACGGACATGTCCATACATGTCCATACATTCGCGTCTATTTTTCAAAAAATGTGAGCGGTATTGTATATAGAGAATTTTCTTTCGTCTGCATGACTTGAATCGTCAAAAGGCATTTTGGATAACCTATAGCCAAGCACAACGCTGAAGAGGTTTACAAACATGTGCTGCAATAAGGGTAAGAAGGTCTACAGGCACAATCGACGTCCATTGTTGCATGAAAAATTTTCTGAGAGCTAAGTCTAAGTTGTCAGAAATACTCGTCGCTGAGCGCCCAGACCCCAACCTGCCATAATCAGTGGTAGAAGAGAACTTTTTGGTTTTTTGAGCTGCAGAAAAAATCAAAATTATTAAGTTTAATTCTATTCTGCAGAAAATCTTTTATTCTTCGAGTGTATCGGTCTTTGGATTAGCTTGTAATAAACTTATTTTTACGCTTTTCAGTAAACTTCAAACGAAGTTTCATCCGTGAAAAGTGGACAGTTCTAGAGAAAAAATTTTATTGTGATTTTTGATAACTCGTTCTTGTGAATGACTGGTACAAAACGTAACCCCTAAACTGACAGAATCTACTAATTATAATGATTTTATTGCATCACAGGATGAAATTTAACAGAATCATAGCCAAAATCTTGGCGGAACCTGCATCATTTGTTTTACCATCCAGTAATATTCAAACAAATTTTGCGCAGCGATAAAGTTATCGTAACTTGAGCACCAGGTCCGTAGTAAGTCCTGATCAGAGAAGATGATCCCCCATTAAGCCCTTATGTGAGGTTCCGTTAGGTGAAATGACGACCGCCCACTTCCGCATGCTATATGAATGCAATGTCACCTGACATGTGATCCTCAGGTTAAATTCGGCAGGAAGATCATCTCTTTACCGAGCCATGGAAGATGATCAGAACATAATCTCATAAAACGTGCCAACGAGGAGATTCAGAGTAAGTTACTCCTGAGTAATTTACGATGCACGTCAGTTTAACATCATACCCTATAATAAAGCGCAGGGGGGACCATCGCACGTCAACAACCAGCAAGGATGTTTGCCCAGATCTTTCTCTTAACTTTTGCACTTTCACTCGCTTCCATACTGTTTACCGTTGCGATTCAACGTAGTCGCGTAAGTGCAACCTAATGACGTCATCGTATTTTGCGCTAACTTGGCTTTCTCGATAATGTTTACTATGAAACCAAGCTATTGAACACAACACCATACTCCTCCTCACTCGACTCCTCAGTTCACATGCAAGCGTAATTGTGAGGTCTGATGCTTTTCGAACGTCTTTGATTTTATTCATTTGACATTTCAAGACTGTGTGAACTTTCCAAATTGTTAACCACTAGGTGATAAGAAACATGATGATGCGAATTGTCGTGAAACCACGCGGGATCAAAAAGCTCACTTAGCAACTAAATCGTGGGTTCAGGAGACTGCATCTTAGAATTTCTGAGTTTTCTCAAAAGACCGAAAATTTCAGAAATACTACGAAAAACGTCACTGCGATTGTAATAGAATTTTGGAGCTACATGATGTCTGTTTGCTGTCAGAATAAAAAAAGATGAAAAGAAAGGGCTTCACTAACCATCAACTCACCCTTGCTAACCTCAGAAACATGGTTTTTGCCGCAATTTTGTCAAAACATTGCACAGTTCCAGAATCGTATAAACACTGAAGATTTGTTTGGATGAATAGCTGAATCTGGAGTTGGACTTTAATAATAGCTCTCTTTATAGAATTCAAGTCAGTAGCCTATCAAGATGAGTTGGAAATTGGGGTGGACTTTGGAGCTGGGTGGAAAAGCATAGATGTTGAACAATTTGGATAGCCCATATAGAACGCTAACGGGATTTGACAATAAGATTCTTCAATTGGAAAGAATTTGTGCACGCTTCCAACAAAGCATATTTTGTGAAGAGAAAGGGATGCTCTTTGATTTAAAAAATTCTATATTATAGGTTGGCATGTTGATTAGAGTCGCAGCGGTGTTCGACAGTGTTTTGGCCCTTTCATGACCGGGAACGTCGCTTATCTCCCTCCAGGTTTTCATACGAGCCCAAGAGATTTAATGGAGAGTGAAGTGTTGTGAAGTGTTGGGGTAGTTCGCAGGACAGTCGATGAGGAGGGAAGGGCTCTGGCGGAAAACAGTCAATAGATTGTACATAGCTGGGAAAAGGTTGCCGAGCCCAACATAACCACCATTAGCAAACCGCAGACATGACGCGGAATCTTGAGGGCGCAGCGCATCATGTCAATTTTAGCCTGATGCGGGGAACAGACTGTAAAGGTGTGTAAGTTCGCATTTTCTCAATGGCACCGCTGAGGCGAGACTTGAGGCGAGACTTGAAACGACTAAGTAAGATCTGAAGGATGTGAGAGTGCGAGAAAAGAATGGTAGTTTGGAAAGTTTCATAAGGGAAGTTTTTGGTGAAAAGGAATTTAGGGAAAATGGGATGCACTTTGGCTCGAAGAACTCAGGGAGGGCAGCAAAGCGCAAGTTTGCAAAGTACAAGAGCATACATACCTGGGAAGCTGGGAGAAAACGGTAGAAAATCTATTGGCACTTTTGTTAGTACTTATGAAACCACATGAAGCAGGAAACTTCTGGCACTTATCATTGTTGATTTCTGGGTTCGTTGAATGTCTGCGCAAGAAAAGGTTTCCAGTTTTAACTTTACAATCACATCCCACTTCACACACACAACCAGTCCGAAGCGCCGCGAAGCGGCGCTTTGGACTGGTGGCGAATATACTGGGTGGGGAGCCACAGTGCAGACTGGCAATCTTCAACAGGATCTAACAAGTGCGGCTACATCTTCGCAGCCGCTACTAATCACAAAGTTGTGAATGTTCGGCGAAAGGATTTTGACTTGTATACTTGCTAAACGTGGCGCACTCAATCATGTCAAGGTGGATCTTGGAATTATCAATCAATGGCTTAATTGAGGCAGAGCTGACTCGTCGAAACTTCAACTGAAGCTTTTCTTAGTTGAGATGGAATGAGGCAGCTTTAATAAGTACGATGACCGCAGTGGCAATGCTTGAGTGACCTCATAGCATATTATAAAGTATTAACCAAGTTTTGTAACTCCTTCCGTAACTTTTCCCTTTGATCTTGACCGATCTTTTTCACATTTTATAGAATGGAGTACGGGCTATAAAATGGAGCATACCGCTCTTTTTTAGTGACAAAATAAATCCAGGCATTTTTCGAGGATCTGTAAAATTTGTATCTCTCTATATATATAAAGCGAAAACCTGTGTGTCTATGCACATTTCTCATAGTCATGAAGTATGAGCGGTGAAGCTCATCTTCATCGCTGTTCATTAAGATATGGCGAAGACGGTATGTAGAAAGCGAACCGAAAACCAGTCGGAATCAAAAGAATGGTATCTTTCGCTACCTTGAGAGAGTACGATGGACTCTCCATAAAGGGGTGAAAACAGGAATCCAGCTCTTGGGCTTGTAGCAAAAATAAAGTAGTTTGCAACAACCTTACGATCACGTAGAACGATCCGAAATTGTACATAATTTGTTGCCAATACTTGTCTTATTTCAATTTTAAAAAATTGAAATTGAAGATAAGTCGGTATCTGGCGCCTTAGCGAAACTGAGTGAGTCGCTTACGAAAGACTGTGAGGGGGCAACCGTCAAGGTGAAGATATCGGGGTCTCAGAATTCACAAAACTTGGTACAAGGGGGTTATTCCTGTTAAACACAAAAATTATTCATATCGATTAACCCCTCTTTTCGGGTTTGGGGCAAATCTTGTACCTTAAACCTGCCGTAGTCATACACAACTACGCAAAAATAATATTGTTTTAGCGACCAACATGTCGAATAACCTCTCTGTGCCAAGTTTCAAAAAAGTCTGCGATGATATGAAAATTCTTTGCTTACACCATATATCTACCGCAACCCGCGCAGGCCAGAATTCAACGAAATGGTAGCTGCACTTAAAGCTTGGG